TCCTCCTCCTCCTCCTCCTCCTCCTCTTCTTCCTCCCCATCATCCAGCAACTCATCTACAAGGTCCTGGGAGGCCCTGGCGCCCACGGCACCTGTGGCGATACAGTTGGAGCCATCCTCCTTGAGCTCGTGACCCTCACTGCAATAGCACTCGAAGCCACCAACATAGTTGACACACATCTGCTGGCACACACCAGGGATCTGGCACTCATCTGTGTCCACGCAGCGGTGTGGCTCATCCTCAGCTGGTCGGAAGCCCAGGAGGCAATGGCAGCTGTAGCCCTGTGGCCCCCCAGGCTCACACTGCTGCTCACATGGGGCTTGGGCACAAGGGTCCTCACAGCTGCGCCCATCTGCCGCCAACTGGAAGCCTTCAGTGCAGTGGCAGGACACCTGACCATTCATGTCCTCCACACATTCATGTTCGCAGCCCCCGTTGTCCGGGCCACAGCCAGTCCCCAGGCACAAGGGCCCAGCCTGGGACCAGCCCACACCTCCTTCAGGCTGCTTTATGCAGAGCAGAGAGGCTCCCCTGCCAGCCTGGCACTGCACGGCAGCCACGGAGCCGAAGGGCAGCCACTCAAACTCCGTGGAGACCAGGTGGAAGGGCGTGGTGTAGACAGTGGGGCTGGCCTGGCCCACGTCGTCCGGCAATGCTGGGCAGGCACCCTCGAAGCCAAACTGGCACAGGTAACCATCGATAGGCAGTGTGCATGAGCCCTCGTGCCAGCGATGGGCATGACTGGCCTCCAGGGCCACACAGCGCTGGGCCATGCAGGACCCTGCCATGGCTTGCTGGGCCCAGTTGGTGAAGGCTGTGTCCTGGTCTCCGGTGGTCCATGTGAAGCCACGAAGTGGGCGCTGCAGCTGGCACTGCCGTGCCTGTCGCTGCAGTCCGATCCACAGCAGCTTGTCTTTCGGGCCAGTGCCCACCAGGCTGTCCACACGCTGGGCCTCCTCGGGTGTCCGGGGTGTGGCCAGGTTACCCCCCAGTTCACGGCAGGCCCGCCAGGCTTCTAGGAAGGTGCGGGATTCCGGGTAGAGCACATAGCAGCTGTTGGGGCCACAGGTAGCGTGCGGCTCAGTGGGCCAGGAGGCCTGGCCCAGTGTGGGCACTGCGGCCGCCCAGGCCAGCAGCAGGCGCAGCAGCATCACGACGCCCCCCGACTGGCCCAGCCCGGGCTTGCGGCTGCTCTTGACAGGGGGAGGGGCCGATGGGGCCTCCGGCAGGCGGGCTGGGGGCGGGCCTAGGCCAGGCTCAGGCCTTGTAAGGAGTGGGCTGGGGCGGCTGCCAGCTCCCGCTCCCGCTCCCCCAGGGCCACAGGAGCAGGAAGCAGTGGGGTGGGGGGTGCTTGGGTGGTGGAGGAGGGAGGAGGTGAAGTACACCGGCTGCCCCAGGCCCCACAGAGCTGGGAGTCAGAGAGGCAGAAACTGCTGCCTGGTGAGACAGGACGCTCTGAACCCCAGCACACTGCAGTCCGGGCTCAGTTCCTCCAGCTAAGCTCACTTTCCCAACACTCACAGACACTCAAATCTGGACCCACAACCTTGCGCCACGTCTGTTTCCCAGCACACTTACATGTGCATGCTCCCCTCCCCAACCCCGGGGTAGGCTCATGCTCCTGGCCACCCTGCGTGCCTGGGCTTCGACCTGCCAAGCCAGCCCTTCACCTTACCTTGCCCAAGCAACCCTGTGATCCCTGTCCCCCAGTGCACATCAGCCCAGCACCCCGTACCCTAGAGGTACTCCTTCCAAGATGGTGTGGCAATCCACTTGGCTGAACAGCTGACCTGTTCAGGCCCTGAGGGGCTGATGACCCCAACCCAGACCCCCTCTCCCTACCCTGTTCTCTATTCCTGAGTCCCTTCTTCAAGTCACCCCACTCCCCAGAGTTCTGCCTCCCGCTGGGCAGGAAGAGAGGGTGTGAGGGCTGCCTTTTCTTCACCCCTCCTCAGCTGGGGACCCTGGGAACCTGGGCTTGGAGGGAGAGAAGGCAGCCCCCAAACAGGAAATGCCTCTCTGGGCTCCTGCTGCAGGAGGGCAGAGTGTGTGTGTGTTAGGGGGCTGGGGAGGCTGTTCTCAGGGGGCAGGGCTGGTTGTGAGGGGACTGGTGCAAGGCCATTTATGGGCACTGGACACAGTGACCCATTGACATGTGTGTGACACAGGCTTCATGTTGTGGAGCCTCCCTGCCCCCAGAGGCTGCTGCATAGGCCCGGTCAGACCTCCTTCTGCCCTCCTCCCAGGCCTCTGAAGGCAGTGTACTGAGCCTGTCACCCAGGATGGTCCCAAGGAGGTGGTTGAAGATTAACTCATACTTACAGCTGTATCACATTTTTTTTATGTCTTTCTGATTGATTGATTGATTGATTGATTGAGATGAGTTTTTGCTATGTGGTCTAGGTTGGCCCCAGACTCCTGGGCCCAACCAGTCCTCCTATCTACCCCAGCCTCTTTAAGAGTTGGAACCATAGGCATGTGACACTGGCTGACCTATTATATTCTTCTTCTTTTTTTTTTTTGGTACCAAGGACTGAACTCAGGACCTTGAGCTTGCCAGACAGGTGCTGTGCTGCTGAGCTAAATCTTGGGCCCCCATTATATTCTTAGTAGATGTTTGAGCCAGGGATGAGGCAGTGGAGGAGAGGTTCTAGCACTCAGGACACTGCCCTGGTACAGCTTCTCAGTCTGCCTCTTATCTGCTGTGTGACTTCGGGCAAGTCACTGACCCTTTCTAAGCCTCCATTTTTCTTATGTACATGGGAATAATGTGTCCAGGTCTTTTAGCTCAGTGTGGGTAGTGTGGCACAGCACAAAGGGCTTTTCAGCTATGGAGCATGAGGCCAATGTCCCTTAATCTTCTGAGTATGGGGGGAGCAGACTGGCCTTTACTAACTACCTTTCAGTACCCAGACTAGCCCGGCACACCCAGCCAGGGATTATGCAATCCCTGCTGTATGCCCAGAAATTCAAAGTCTATGCCTGTGAAGCACATCTACTCACTCCTCTTCATAGGAGATTCATAGGAGAGGAAAGTTAGTAATCACAGTCTACCCTGCCATTGGTGGAGACCCAAAACCTTAAGTTCATCCTTGACTCCTCTCTTTCTCTCACACCCCAAGTCCAGGCTCTCTGCAAGTCCTCTTGGCTTCATTTTCAGAATCAACTCAGTACCTGACTGCTTCTCACCACCTTCTTTGCCACCCACTCTTGGCCCATGCCACTGGCATCTCCCATCTAGAGTCTTACAACCATACACACACACACACACACACACACACACACACACACACACAACACGCCCCTCACCTTCTCTGCTTTGCCAAAGAGTTGCTCTTTTGAGCTCACTATGTAGCCCAGCCTGGCCTCAAACCCACAAACTCAAACTCTCATTGATCCTCCTGTTTCAGCCTCCCAGAGTACCAGAATTACAGCAATGCACCACCATGCCTGGCAGAGGGATGCTCATAAAACCTAGGTCTGTTCGGGTCAGTCTTTCGCTCAGAGGTCCCCATCTTGCTCAGAGGAAAAGTCAAAGTCTTTGCCATGTGACCTGGCTCCAAACTACTCATCCCACCCCCTCCCTCTCACTCCCTCTGCTCCAGCCACTCTGGGCTCCTCACTGGTCCCCAGCTTGCTGGGCACACTGCCTCCAGACTTTCACCTGGCAGCACCCCTGCCTGGAGCACAGTCTTCAATCTCCAAATGCTCAGCTTTTTCCTTTGCTTTCCTCCAGTTGGTCTCAGGTCAAGTGTCAGGGTCTCCAGTCCCTGCCCCCAGCTACTCTGCCATCCCCCAGGGACTCCCTGCCCCACATCTTGCCCCATTTCCCCTCTGCACTCTGACTCTCTGACATGGTATAGACTTACTTGTTGTTTCCTTATGGCCTGAATCCTCCTGGCCAGCTTCTCAGCCTCCACCAGTGCTGGACATTTGTTGTTGTAAGGTCTGTGTGATACCTGGAGGTCCTTACCAGTATTTCTGGCCTCTGTTTAGATGTTGGTAGTTGGGACAATCAAAAATGTCCCCAGACATTGCCAAATGTTAAATGCCAACATCACCTTCAGGGGGGAACTTCTGCCCTTGGAGACTGTGAGGGGGAGACTGTGGGTTCCGTGATAGGGTCATGGTCCTGTTCCTTACTGTAGCCCGAGCCTAGAAAGCTCCTAGACCATAGACACTGCTCATTAAAGGTTTGTTGAATGACTGAATGAGGTTCAGGTGAGTGTTTAAGGAGATGCAGGGAGAGCAGGGTTTCTGCCTGTAGTAAAGCCCACTTGCTCCCCATACTTTTTGGCTACTCCCTTGAAGTCAGCCCTCCTAGACCTGGGAGGTCTCTTGAAATCAGCGAGTCGTTTTGCAGTTAGGGACTCTGAGGCCCAGTGAGTATCAGAGCAAGTCAGTGGCAGGGCTCAGACTAGAACCAAAGTTTCCTGACTCTTATTCCAGTTCCTTTTTGCTGCAGGCCCCTGCAGCATCCTTTGAGCTGAGACTGGGAGTAAGACATGATAAGAAATAAAGAAGGGAGGAAGGAGACACAGCTGGATAAAGGTCTTGAGGTAGGAGGTCAAGAAGAGGTGGGCCTAGAGGGATGGAGAGGACAGGAGACAAGAGCAGAAAGGGAGAAGCAGCCTGCTTTGTGAGGCCACGAAGCTGCCCCTGAAAGCCACGACTCTGCTGTGGCAGCATGGGAAGAGCCAGGATGAGAGCTCCATGGATGGTTTTTGGTAGGTGGAGGAGACCTGAGGCCAGGACCCGTCAGGAGGCTGTTGCAATTGTCTGGGAAAGAGGAGGGAGCTGGCTGCAGAGCAGGGCAGCAGGGCGGGCCGGGCTGGGGGAGGCAGCCTTGGGAGGCTCCTTATGGGCGGCCCTGAGCCTGGTCCAAGGGTGTGGTGAGCCCAGTCATGATTCGGGCAATGGCCAGTGCTGGGGTGTCTTAGAGCAGGGCTTCAGGGTATCTGACAAAGTGGGCAGGTCAGATCAGAGGTTAGGACCCCAGCTTCAGTGCTGGTGAGGGTTTAGGGAGCAGAGAAGGGAAGCAGGAGGAGGAGGAAGAGGAGGAGGAGGGTCAAAGGCCAGATTCTTGATGGACCTGCTGGGCCTCCTTGCAAATGGAGGGAAGTCTGAGTAGGACAGTGGCTAGGGGCAGACGGGGCATCTCTGCTCCCAGCAAGGCCAAATGGATCAAGAATGAGTCTTGGAGGTGCACATGGGTGCCCAGCTTGGGAGTGTGCCTAGTGCTCGCTTGCCTCCCCCAATGGTGCAGAGGTAGGGAAAGGCTAGGTCAGAACTTTCTGCCCTGGTCAGGAAGATGGAGGACACAGTGAGAACAATCTCAGGGGTCTGGGTATGAGGAGCACAAAAGGGGATGGTTGGGATGTTCCTTTCCCAGCTGGTCTGGTTGAGCCTGAGTCATCTTGAGTTACTGAAAGCACAAAGAAATGCTAATTTATGCAATAAATACATGGAGGGTGGGTGAATGGATATACACTTTTTTCCCCCTTTTCTTTTGGTATGGGGATTGAACTTGGGGACCTTGTGCTTGCAAAGCAGGTGGTGGAAACACTGAGCTAAATCCCTGGCCCCTTTCCCTTGTTTTTTTTCCCTTGTTTTTTGAGACAGGGCCTCGCTGTGCCATTCGGGCTGACATTGAACCACTATGTAGCTCAAGTTGGCCTCAAACTTGTGGCAGTTCTCCTGCCTCAGCCTCCTGAGAGTTGGGATTACAGGCGTGTGGCACTACACCCAGCTCTAAGTGGATATATAGATGGTTGCCTGGGCTCATGGGAGATGCATAAATGGGAGATGGATAGATGAATGCTTGGGTGCCTGGGCCAGTGCATCAATGGATGGATGGATGAGTGGATGGATAGAAGAATGGTTAGGAGGAAGGGTGGGTGATAGACAGGTGAGCGATGGTTAGATGGATGGGTGTAGGAATGCATAAGTGAAAGGATGTATGGGTATGGTGTTTAGATGCTTGGTGATACAGGGTACAGGCAGAAGTGGTAGGCCCTGATTCATGATGAGCGGACACCATGAGGAGTCCACGCTCAGAATGAACCTCTATGTCTCTGCAGAGGTGCAACCCAGGAAGGCAGGACAGCTTGGGCTGCCACCCCACCACAGGGATCAGTGTGATGCTCCCTTGTCACCACAAAGCTATGTTCTCTTCTGGGGCCTGAGGTCAACGTG